GGCGTTGGCCAGTATGCCGCAGATGTGCGCCTTGAGGTGGGCGGGGGGGAGGGGAGGGTCGTTGGGGTGCAGCACATTCTTGATGCGAAGTCGCCCTTGAACCGCCTTCCGCTCGATGGCGTCCAGGCGGCTGTCGTGGTGGATGGCGACCGTGGTCATGTTAGCAACTGCTCGGCAGACACCGCCGAGCAGCTGCTCGTGCTTGTGCCCCAGATGGCTGACGGCGTCATCGAGGACGTGCATGGAGTCAGCCGTCGTCTCCTGGACGTCGGCCACGGCGTCGGGGACGATGTCGGCGATCGCTCGAATGGCCATATCGTAGCCGATCGTTGCACCCGCCATGCTGGCCTTGATGAGGGCATCGAACTGTGGAGAAGTGCTCGAAACTCCAAGGTTCATCACCAGCTGCTTGATGGCGGTCTCCATTCCCGCCATGTGCTGCCCGTCAGCCGGGAGGTCTGCTATCCGCTTGCCGAGGATGCGCTGTTGTAATGCTGCTCGACGAGCTGGTGGGTCATCGTGGGAAACAGCCATGGGGGATGGTGCGGGGGGTGAGGGAGCGTCCATTGCGAAGGGAAAGTGAGAGGGGGTGGGCTCGACGCTGCGCTACGACGCCACGGCGGTTATTGTGTTTAACGAGACTCGTGTCTGTAACCCCGAGGGGATCCTGTCCAGGTCACGCACTAAACTAGCAGCATGCACATGCACAGAAGCATGCACACGGCCTGTCTCCCCATCCCACCCACCCACCCACCCACCCACCCACTCGACACGCACGTGCCACCCTATGATGGTCAGAAAATCGCTGTCGACAACGGTTGTCATAATATCCAACCAACATTTCGTGTTTCACAGCTTGCGTCCCTACCCCAGAGAACTGTGGCCATACGAACCACTACAAGGTAGGCGTCTCGTCATGCCGCTCGTAACAGCAACTGGCGGGAACAGATCCCTCAGTTTTCCTTTCATTCTCTGTCCCTGCCTGTATGTTTTTATTGCAGACCTCCCATCGGAGAGTGCTTAGCGATGTCAACCCCAGCGAATCCCGTCATCGACCTGACCGACGAGTCAGAGGACGCCCGCCAGGCGGAGGTCCTGGATGCCCGTCTCGCCCGGGAGCTGCGGGACGAGGAGGTGGCCAGGGAGCTGCAGGCCCAGGACATGGCCGATGGAGACTGGGATGGACCCTTGGGCGACGCCTACGCCAGCTGGGCGGTGGTAAGGAGATCTGCGGTCACCCTCAAAAAGGCCCTGATCTGATTCTCTCTCGCAGAGTGGCAAGAACGCACCCAGGTCTTCCGCTGCCGCCGCCGCCGCTTCTGCGCCGTCTCTTCCAACGCCCACCATCAACCTACCTCCCCCGTCATCGTTAGTACAAAACCTCATCGATCGCCATTTCCGCGCTCACGAGCCCGAGCAGTCTGAGAAGGAGCCCAAGCGGGGCCGGGAGAACCACGAGCAGCCAGACAAGAGGGTCAGTGACGAGATGTTTATACGAATCTCCCATACGCACTGATCTCATTCTCACTCGCAGAGCATTAGGCACAAGCCGGATGCAGCGTCATCTGCCGCTGCTGCGGCCGCTGCGTCACCTCCCAATCAGGACATGGATTTCGATGGGGCGGGGCCTGCGGACGCCGGGGAGGACGAACAGGTACTCCTCGCTCAGAACGAACGATCCTCACGTGCAAAATCCGGCTCTGCGTCTGTCCTTTATGTCACTTTGCCAGTTTGATGACGAAGACATCCCTCCCCAGGTGAGTGCCGCGTAACTGTACCTCACCATCCCTCGCAAACGCTCGTTGTTCGCTCCGCTGTGCTCTTGATCAGGATTTTGTTGACGACGGTGCGCAACTGATCCCTGATGAGGCACTTGTCGCCGCACTCGATGTGATCACGTCGGAAGATGACACCATTTCGCCCGAGGATGCGGGGGAGCTGGTCGTCGGTGCGTGTGAGGCATATCTCACGCACCCTGAAAACTACACACCCCACCCCCCGGCCACCCCTGCAACTACATCTCCCTCACCCGCACCCGCGACCGGTCCCCCTTCCCCGCTCACCAGCATCCCTCTCCCCGCTGCCCACAAGCGCACGTTCGGATCCCGCACCAAACCCTTTGATGGGAACGCCTGGATCAGGAGGACGGGCAAGCGGGAGGTCAGGCGGGAGGCCAGAGAGGCGGGCAAGGATGAGGCACGGAGGTACGGCACTGACCAGACGACGGCTGAATGGAAGGAAGAGGCCAAGCCGCTGGGCTTTCCGCCTGGACAGCTCATGTTCGTCATATGGGAGGTGAGTCACATCTGTGGGTCCACAGGGGGAGCTGGGCTCTACTCTCCCTGTTCGTTCTCTGGTGTCCAATGTGCAGGTCTACCCATATTGGTGGAAGCACCGCATGATCAAGGGCAAGTCGGATCCAAAGTACTGGAAATACGGCCTCTTCAAGGGCGATTCGGAGCTCTATGAGTTGGTCCCGATGGACTACGTGGCCTTCTTAGAACGTCTCCTGGAGCCACACAGGGCAGCCCACAAGCGCCACGTAAACAAACCGTACACAGGGCGATTCCGCACTTCTCAGACAAACTCTTCCCTGTCCGCGTGTCGCTTCAGTGGATGACCCACCAGAGCACAACACACCCGCCGTGTAAGATTCCGTTCACTTATGGCACTGTCAACTACCACACCAGCATGGACGCACTGCTCGCGGCTCTCAAGCGCAAACGGCAGCTTCTGGAGGGTGGTGGGTCCGTCGAGGGTGCGCAGTCGACTGACATTGATGATACCGAGGAGGCCCAGGAGGACTTGCCCCAGCTCGCCGAGGAGGACTTGGCCCAGCTCACGACACGGGGTAAGAACCAGCTGGCGACCATCAAGGCTGCACTCCGGGTGATCAAGACACAGCGCAAGGAGCCACCTCTTAAGAACACAGGGTGCTCACACGGTTCGGCCAGGGACCGCGTTCACATGGAGCACCAGCGCAACAAAAAAAGGTGCCAAAAGGACTTTTACTGGCACACCCCGTCCGGCAAGCTGGAAGCAATTCGGGACGCTCTTGTGAGCAAGTACAAGCATGTGATTGGCAAGTGCTGTAAATGAGATTAGTCGCTCACTCCCTATCTGTATCTGTATACGAGGCCCTTTTTGGTTCTCTACGTAGACATATACGTAGATCAACATATGTAGTAGGTCTGCTTGACTGATGGATGACCGAAATGCGATGGGATGGATGTGTCTATGGATGGGTATGGGAGGAGAAGTGAGCCCTCACATGACATGAGTGATGCTGTCTGTAGCCATTAATGGTGCAGCGTGTCATTGGAGCAGTCGAACTTCTGCAAGCTAAGACGTATTGACTGTGTGACATCTGACTGTGTGCCCCTGCCTGTGTGCATGTGTACATGGATACGTTATGTCTCAATCCATGAATTATTGTGTGGGTCTATCATTAGATGGACTTCTGAAAACCTAGCCAACTGCGCCGATCTCGCTCCCCGCAGCCTTTGGATCTATGGCTGTGGTCGTTTTGGATCTGCGTTGTCGTGTTCGACATACATGAGACCGTCAATCACGCCCTCGCAGTCAGCCGAGTCAACGCATATAAGCCCGTCTAGCTCGACCCATGTAGCATCTTCATCCCACCTCTGCCCCCCTACGAAGCAAACCAAACGCCCCGTAGAATGAATCGAGAGTGCTGGTCGCAGTTACCCCTTTCTCTTCGATCGGGACTTGCGAGAACGCTGACTCTTGATCCTCTGCGTGACCTCGAGCATGTAAATCACGTCTCCGATCTCGCCCCTCATTTTGGCGATCGCCCCTCATTTCGGCGATCTCGTCCCTCAGTGCGGCAAAGCTCGCGACGAGCTGCTCCTCCACTTCGGTAAGGTTCCGACGAGCTGGCTCAACGGTGTCGCAATATCTGCAACGACAGCGAACCACACGCACGCCCACAATGACTGGGGAACGTTGTGGTGTCCCCACCGGTGGGGCCTTTGGTCTGATCGGTCGCACTTGTGGTGGTGGTCGCATTTGTGACGCCTCCAGGGAGGACCTCACTCGTGCTATCCCCCCCAGCAGCCCTCATGACCTGGCGCACACCACAAGCACCAAGAGATGCGATTCTAGTCAGCTTGACTGCAGTGGCTGTATCGCTGCACATCCGTATAAAGAACGTACCTGTGTGCTGTGTTTTCGCAGCCGACGCACACGAGACCTCATCGCCTGTATTGCAAATGCCGCACAGGACACCGTCTACGCACACGCATGCATCTGTTTCCCTTTGCGGCGTGTTGACCTACACTGGTTTTTTCCTTGTCCGGCGTCAGAAGCACACCATCATTGACCAGCATGACCTGAGTCAAACCATGCGATATGGCCATATTTTGTCACCACAATCCATTCGTCCATCGTGTGATCACGCTTTCTCGTTGACGCACACAAGCATCGGGATGCGGATCCACGTATGTACCTTGCCGGCGCCGGATGATTCCACCCTGCATCGGCCCGACGATGATGAAAGCATGGCTGCCGCTCGGGAGACTGTGTGCCCCCCGCAGGATGGCACTGGCGGAGCACCACACGACCACTGGCAGAGGAAAATAGGCCAGCATCACCCAGATGCACACCGGGAGAATGCCATCCCGCTATGAGGTTGAAAAGTACCGCCAACGTGGGGTTTGTCGTTTAGGGTTTTCGAGGGTCAGCGTACTGGGTTTCAGGCTCCAGGGTTTGAAACCCTTAGCCTGTAGCCCTAGCACGATCCGGGACGGTGCTTGGCGAATACGACGCGCACAAACAATCAAATCACGGACGACGTGCATGGGTCCTCAAAACATCACATCCAGCTCTGAGGTACAGTACGTGTGCGCCTGTCTGTTTCTTCATGCAGATCTTCAGCACTTGCTGCAGATGCCATGGTGCAGATGTATCAGAGGGATGGCATTGAGTGAATGATTCATCACTGTCCTCTCTGCTGTGCTCGTGTGTGTGCGTTACAGGTGCTCAGCATTTATTTCCAGAGGGGACTCGGAGAGGCGATGTGGCGCTACCCTTTTTCCTTTCACCGTGTGTTTGACCTCGACCAACGCCCGCCACGTGGTTTCCCGCCCAAGTGGAGAGGGCCCTTTCCCGAAGAGGTTGATGGCTACAAGGACGTCCTTGTGTACTACATGGACAAGGAACCCAAAATATGTCGCTTGCCCGAGTACGAGATGTACTGTGCGTCCGGTGGCTCACCGCGGTTTGCCAACGACTATGCTATGCGGCTCATATGGAAGGAGCTTCGGGAGCAGGGACTCGAGAGCAACAGGCTGATGCGGTTCGTAGACACAGTGAGATGTGGGTTACGGCCCATCCAGGCGCACCATCACCAGGCATACGCACTCTGGCTCGGTGAGGACGGGACGGACACATGCACCCACTCACTCACGGACCACACGAGGCACACAAGATGCAGACAGGAACGCATCGGCAATCGACCCTCTCTCTTTCCATGTGTGTGTGTGTGTGTGTGTGTAGGTCCGCTGTGGTCGCCCGAGAAGGAGGCCGAGTGGCAGAGAGACAACGCACCTGCTTTGGCCAAGTGGTGGCGGCGCGTCACTCAGAGGAGGCACCGACCAGCCGACGACGAGGCAGCGGAACCACTCGCCGAGTAGCTGTAGACAGCTGGGAACAGGTGCAGGATAGGACAGGGGACAGGGAGAGAGATAAAGATAGACTTGGTCTGTCGAAGGCGCGCACAGCTGTGTCTGTGTCAAGTCCATGAGTGCCAGGGCCAGATTCTCGACAGCCACACTTTTGTGACTCTTTTATATTCAGTCTGTATATAACCGCCGACCAATGCCCGCACGACCCTCTGGCCCATGACTGACTGCAGCCAGTAGCTAAGGGTGTGCCGCTGAAGCGTGCTTGCTCTTTTCTGCTGCCCCCCGCTGTGTCTGTCGCCCTCCTCCCCGGCTGTGTCTATCTCTTTGTTGGGTGGAGGTGGGGCCGACGGACTGTGGCGGAGACCACCTGCACTGCCTCGTGTGCGTGGGCATGGCGACATGATGGAACAGGGGAAGGACCGCCTGCAAACTATGAACAAGAATCGCTCGTAGAAGGGCAGCTCGCGCAGCGGCTGTGCCCGCCATCACACGACCCTGACGGGAGACAACACAGCAGCAGACGATGACGACCGGCACTTGCACACCATTCATGCTGCATTGCACTGGCTTTGCCTCCGCTGAGGTGCTCAGCCAACCACTAAGGATGCGTTGGGTTTGCGAAATTTGTGAATGCGCATATAGCAGCACACGGCAGAGATACCCACACAGAGGTTCATCCATCGCATAAGTCGGTCTTGAGGAAAAATTCACAGAGATGCAGGCAGGCTGGCAGGCTGTTTGGTTGGGAGAGAGAGCAGCGAAAGAGAAGAGGATAGATAGGGGAAGAAGAGACACATAGATAGATAGTGGTCCTCTCCTCACTCACTCAGTGATTGCCAAAATGCTGCTCTGTTCTCCGCCAGCCCCGGCCGATATGCAGGCAGGCAGGCACTCACATCACACACGACCTGACCTGGCCTGGCTGACGCGGTGTCCGCGTACGGACAGATAGACAGACAGACAGACAGACCAGCGTCATGTGTGCGCATCGGAAAAGAAAGAAAGCACAAAGACAAGTATTGTATGCAGACAGATCACAATGAGGCAAAATGAGGGAGGCAAAAGTGGACATTTTCTTTACACACAGACACGCACAAACCAACACACACACACACACACACACACAGAGTGGCTGGCAGGCAGGCAGGCAAGCATTCGCCCATCCATCAGTCCACGACGCAGAGCAGAGCGATTGAATCCAACCGCCGCGGTGAGCATCGACTGCCCTTAAAAACTGGTCAGATGGGATGTTTGTTTGTCACCCAGACAGACAGACAGACAGACAGACAGGCCCACCAGTCAGTCCCCCATGCAGCCCTCCCTCCCTCCCTTCCCATGCGTCACGTCATGGTCAGTAGAGGATGCCCTGGAGTTTCTTCCATGACTTGAAGACGTTCTCGCATCCATCGGCCATGACGTTCCACTCACTCTCGATGGCCCGCTCCTTGAAATCCGTCTCGAGCTCCTTGTAGTGCAGCAGCCCGTCGGGGTGGCCGAAGGCCGCAGCCAGCTTCTGCGACACGCCAATGTGGATGGCGTTGAGCCGCGCCCAGTAGATGGCTCCCAAAGACATCGGGTCGGGCTCCGTCGTCGTGTACAGCTCGTGGTCCTACATGCCATGCGACAGACAACAAACACGCGCATTCCATTCATGCAGTCAGTCGTGTGGTTTGAGTCTCTTGCCCTTTCTTTCTTCTGTCTCTCTACCCCACCACACCGAGTCAGTCCACTGACTGAGTGAGTGACTTACCACGAGTTTGTATGAGTTTTCGACTTTGCATGCGGCGCGTATGGCGTTGACCTCCGCTGTGGCGGTGGGGTCGTCATCCCGCAGGACGGTGTTGTAGCCGCGGCCCACGATGACCCCGTCCTTGACGACGATCGCCCCGAATGGCTCCCGCTCCTTGCTCTCGCCCTTGCGCTGCCCCTCGAGGGCCACCTCGATGGCCGCCTGCATCCACTCGTCGGTGCAGGTCATCCCCTGGCCCTTGCCGTCGTCACTCGGCGTGATGCTGTCGTCGTCGAGGAACATCTGCTGGTAGATCTTGGCCAAGATGCCGCCGCCAGATCGCAGACGCTTCTTGTACGTGTGCGACTCCTCAAACACCTTACGAACCTGAGAGATATATGGATCCATCCAGCAATCAACAGACAGAGGGAGAGAGGGAGAGAGGGAGAGAGGGTGAGTCCCACATCCCTCGCTCCAGGAGTATGTTGCTGTCTGTGCACCTACCTGGTCGGACATGATGCCCTTCATGTGTTTGATGGCCCGCTTGTCGTGGGGCAGGTCCAGCTCCTGGTAGAAGAACTCGTCGTCGAAGCCGTACTTGGCCGCGGTCTGGCGGGTGCACCCGATATGGATCTTCCTCAAACGCGCCCAATTGGCCGCCCCCCAGCACATGGGGCACGGCTCACACGTCGTGTACAACTCGCAACACGACAAATCGTGAGTGCTCAACGCCTGGATGGATACCCACACAAGAAACAGACAAACAGACAGACAGAAACATCCAGCCCCCGATGACTTTCTCTTACTCACTCTCTCTTTTCTCACTCCGACTCTTCCTTTCTGTGTGAGCGTGTCGTGTCAGTCACCTTGCAGGCCTGTCTGATGCAGTTCATCTCTGCGTGGCAGGTCGGGTCGAGGTTGGTGGGCACCATGTTGTGACTGCAGGCTACGATGACCCCGTTCTTGACGATGCAGGCGCCGAACGGTCCCCCGTGCTCCTGATGCACCCCCGCCAGAGCGCTCGAGATGGCCGCATTCATGAAGGGGTTGAAGTCCTCCGTGCTGTGATTGGCTGACGCAGCGTCAACGGACGTCTCAGCGGTGGATTCGCTGCGAATCGTCATATCGGGCGACTGCTGCTTCTTGACCACGATGGGATCCTCGGGCTGAGGACATGATTCAGCAACCGCGGCCATCGGGGAAGCAAGGGGGAAGGAGCGCTGGTAAGAGCGGAGCTGCTCGCAAAGGGCAAGTTGAATCAGGATGCTCCCTGAAACCGCTCCTTCGAGGCAAGTTTGAATCCGTTTCACGCACTACCCCAAGGAGTTGCTGCTGTTGCCTGAGTTGCGTTGCCTTTGAGTTTCCTCTCGCCATGGCCCTTGTCCAGTCCTCTCCTTCTTCTTCTCCAGCTGCAGCGAAGGTCTTGGCCATAGCAGATCTGTACCTCTCTCTGCTATCTGACTATCCTCTCCGGACCAAATCTCTGACGTGCGGTGTCCTCAGTGCAGTATCCGATCTGCTGTCACAGTACCTCATACAGACCAAGCACCATGTGCCGGTGGAAAAGATGGTCTTCACGCGAAAGAGTGCACAGCGGCAATTCGTCATCGGTATGTATTCACACACGCATGGATCACAAGAGAGAGAAGGGCACACACGAGCAAGATGTTGTCAATTTGTTTTGTGGTCTCTTGCGCAGGACTCATCGTTCGCGGGCCTGTCCTGCACTATGTAAGCAGACTACTTCGGGCAGATCATTTGCGAGCAGTCGTGATACCATCGCATCGATTAATCTCTCTGTCCATCAGTGGTTTGGGTGGGTGGAGCGGCTGTTCCAGAAGTGGCCGCCACAAGGCTCCAAGACGGTGCTCACGAAGGTGCGTGACGCCAGCTGCGTGGGGACGGGTCACTGGGATGATTTCTGCGATGATTTCTGCGCAGGTCGTGTTTGATCAACTCGTGTTCGCGCCCTTCTTCCTCGCCCTCAACTTCGTCGTCGTTGGCCTGGCCGAGGGCCGCTCGCCGCAAGCCATCGCACGAGAGCTGCAAAGCCGTCTCTTCGACGTGTGGAAGAAAAATGTCTGTCTGTGGCCAATTGTGGTGAGCAGTGAAATACTCACACACATGGATAGCCGATCGATGCTCATACTTTGCTGCCTTGCTTCTGCTTCACAGGGCCTGATTCAGTACAGGTGCTGACCAGATGTGCAACGTTTTCGAGTATCTGTTTGTGTCGCTCGCTGTTCTTTCCGGTGTGCCTGTAGGTACGTCCCACCGAAGCTGCGCGTGTTTGTGGGCAATCTCGTAAGCATGAAGCACGTGTTCCTGTGCTTAGCCAAGACACAGTCGCATCACAATTGCTATCTTGTTTGTGCAGGTGAGCGTCTTTTGGACCGCCTACCTGCTCTCGCGGATCTCTCCGGGTGTTGTGCACCCCAAACAAGTCATCAAGCCGTCCAGGTCAAGGACAGAAGACACACCGTCTACACATGCATCGACAGATGCGGCGACGGCCCGTGGGTCGAGGGCTGGCGATGGAGAGGAGGGAAGGGAGTCGGAGGGAAAGGCAGCTACTATGAACTGAACTGACTGTGTGATATGCTGCCCCCGACTTGCGAATCAGCTCATGTGCCTTCCTTCTGCTTATGCGTGTCCATGAGCTCTTGGACAGGGGAGAGAGCAACACTGATTCCAATGACTGCGTGAGGTTAATGCTCAGCCTATCGACACAGTGCCATGGAAGAGTCAATCACCTGTCAGTCAGTCAGTTAGTCAGCCACAGATGCTTACGGAAAAACTGCTTCCTGCCTACCCATGTGTAGGATTCTTACGCTGCTTTACAAACGGACCATCGAAAAAGGCACACTCGTCTGTATGTCTGTCTGTCTATGGGAGTGATCTGCCTATATACCAATTGACATAAATACCTACACCGCGGTGGCTACCCGCTCAATCAATCACTGCCTCCCCATCCATCATCGGACATCTCCTGCACTGCATCCCTCGCTGCTTCAACAGCTGCCTCGTTCTTCTCCCAGGGGAAAAGACCGGCGTAGCCCGCAACCTCCCTATGGTCGGGCCTCTCTAACCTGTCGATAATCGACGATAAGTACAGATGTTTGATTGCATGACTGCTGCTGTGTGTGTTCGTCTCTATCGAGGTGTGAGTTTGTATGCTTACATAGTCCACAACGGTCTGGGCTCCATAGCCTCCGAGCTGCTCTGACCCGTCTTTGCTGACGTTGACGTCTATGTTGCCGATTGGCCTGCCCATGGTCGGCATCAGCCTGTCCCTATCCCTGTCGTAGTACATCATGGTCCACACAGCGCCTTTCATCACCAAGGCGCACTGAACCAAGGCGCACACACACGCAGGAAGAAAGGAATCCATTAATTTGGCTACGAGGTACACTCGAGCTCAGACACAGGAAGACCGTGTCCGTCTGGCTTGGGCTTGGCGTATGTGGCTGCTTGCCTGGGTGATGTTGTCTCTGCGGACGAGCTCCTTGAGCTGCTTGCACGCCGTGTCAGTAGGGTGGTTGCCCGCCAGCACAGCAAACTGCGTTCCTTCCCTGCGCGTGGGCACCAAGTGGTGGATATATGCGATGCGTCTCCTTTTCATCCATCGTTGTCGTGTGTGCGTATGTTATGTGCGTACCCTCTGTGGGTTCGGCCGTCAGTGCCGTCCTTTTGTATTATCAGGAAGAAACACTCGTCGTGCGCATACATGTCAGGAGGGTCCACAGCAAAGACCCTCACGCGCCAGTCAGTCTGCCGCACCATCTCTGCCATCTGCATAATGGACAGACAGACAGACAGACAGACAGAGAGAAGGGCTGGATGAAGAGGGGTCGGGAAGCACACGTGATGCACCACCACCTAGTGAGTGTGTCTTCTCCTACCAGAGGCCAGAAGTGGTACCTACCACACACAGACACAGACAGAGAGATCAATCTACAAAGGACATCTACTCATGCATGTACCCCATGCTGGTCATTGTCTCTGAGCGGCCCATGTACTCGAGCAACCTGGATGGACAAATGAATGAATGAATGCTATCAATGAGAAGCAATGAATGCACTCACATTCTTTCTCTCTGACATACATGTACTTACCTGCCCGTGATGCCTCTTCTTTTGTCCCCTGGCACGTGTAACGAATAGAGGAAGTCCATCAGTTTCTTTGGAACCACGACTCGTGGCAGCGGGCCGAGCGAACTGCTGTCCTCCTTGGCGCCTGCAGACTGCAGATTGCAGACACACACACGTGCACACAGGTCAAGGACAGCGTTCGCTCATAAGTGAGTGACGGGATTACCACGTGGCTGCACCTTTTTGACGGGTGCGGTGCCACCACGTGGGGAGCGGCACTCGCGGCACCCTCCTCCTCTTTCGATGCACTTGTCATCGAGTGCCAGGACTTGCCAATGCGCCGCATCTGATTGGTTGTTTGCAAACACGGACCAGCAATCAGTGTCCGTTCAGATCAGATTGACCCATCCATCATTCAGGCACCGACCGGACGCTGCTGAGAGGTGGCGCGTCGGCGAAGTCCCGTCGGCGAGAGCATCGAGAAGGTGGAGGCCCCACCAGCCAGCAGAAGCAGCACAAAACCCTCCTGCACCAGCATCACGGACTTAGGCAGCTGAAGTGAGTGACGGGTGAGAGACAATCACCGCCATGGATCGTTCGGGTCAAATGCTGAGCACCTGTAACGCACGCACACGAGCCCAGCAGACCACAGTGATGAATCATTCACTCATTCAATGCCATCCCTCTGATACATCTGCACCATGGCATCTGCAGCAAGTGCTGAAGATCTGCATGAAGGAATAGACAGGCGCACACGTACTGTACCTCAGAGCACGTCGTCCGCTGTTTGTGCGCTTGTCGCTCACCGCAACCGCGCCGGATGGTGCTAGGGTTACAGGCTAAGGGTTTCAAACCCTGGAGCCTGAAACCCGCTGAATATAGGGTTTAGGGTTAAGGGTTCGAAAAACACAAGCAGGTGACGTGACGTGACGGACATGCATCGAGTGAACTGGCATGTGCCTGACCGGCAGGCACCTTTCCTCGCGTCTGTCTCACTCATTTGTTCATGGCAGCCAAGTCACTCACTCGTGGAGGCCAGACGGCCACGGAAGCCGACAGGCAAACACAGATCGGAACAGCGGTGCGCGGCCACGGAAGAGCGAATGGTTAGTGTCTGGAGGGGTTGTGTTTGTTGCTCTTCAGGCGTCCAGCAGGTCTTCGGTGCCCGACTCTGGACAGAGTAAGACGACGCACACACGCACACGCACGGGCAATACGTCTGTCTGTCTGTCCTCGGTTTGCATCTGACCCTCTCCACCTCCGCTAATCAGCTGCCGCACATCATGACGCAAGCGACTTCGAGACTTACCTAGAGAAGGCAGATGTATGTGCCATCTGGCAGGCCCCACCTCGCGTGGATGTATGTGTGTATGAGTGCGAGTCTGTGTGTGTGTGTATGTGTGTGCATCGGTGGCAGGCGATACTTCGTCGTAACGAAGAATATCTCATCGCCCTCGACGAATCGCAGGACCGCTTTGCCCAGTGGGTGCTCGACGGATTCGATCATCAGTCTCATTTCGTGTAGGTGTGTGTGTGTGTGTTCGTGTGTCTAGGAGCTCTCTCGGCCGCGTACTGAGGTACTTCTCAATATGGGAGCCCCATTACACCGGGGCTCTGGCTAGGTCCCGCTGTCGCGAAGACCAGCCGTGCAGGCACAAGACCTGTAGGGCGTGTCGAGGTGAGGTGCCTTATAGACGAGTACCGACGAGCCATGCGGGCACGGACACAAGGCAGCAGAGTGATGAGCAGGGTGTGACAGACGAGCGAGAAGAAGGTCTCCGTGCTCGTCTGATGCCCGATAACAAGTGAGTCGTCGACGCCCGTACGTGTTTCGTTTTTTGCGAGTGTCTTGTCGGCCCTGCTCAAGAGAGACAGGCAGGCAGGCAGTCGATCAGGGAGGGTGGGAGGGCGAGAAAATACAGTGAGTGCCCCTAGCCGGCCGGCCGCACAGGACAGCTCAGTCCATTCCGGGGCATTTATTGGCCTGGGGAGTGGGACTGACGACTGACTGACTCATTCATACTTATCCGTCTGGGTGTCAACCTTTATTTATCGACGATACTGCTTGCCCATCCTCTAACTTAGAGCAACGTGTACAATGATCATTCGGTCCTGTCGACCCATGACCCACCCCTTTCTTGCCCACTAGGCGCCGCACGTGCGAGCAACCCGTCGGCAATTACATACATATGGGCAAAGGAAAATCCGACACACATCCACGTAGATAGAGACGACTCACACGATGTAGCTTGATCGGGACTTATTTAGGCGGCGGATCCAATCAACTGAATACACTCCCTTCTCG